TTTATTGTAGATTGACTTTTCATTCTTTTGATTTTCTTTTTTTTAATCCCAAAAGAAACCATTATTTTATTATAATTTAAAACATTTTTTGGTGTAAATTAATTTTTTGAACCATTTTATTAAGGGATGTAAAAAGCTATACATATTTAACATACACAACTCGATGGGTTTGGGGATAAGTATAACTGTATCTTTTGATGTATACAAGTTTTAAGTTTGATGTAGTCTAACTTGTCTATTTTTTATTTTGTTGCTCTTCATATATGCCTTTTGATTGCTTTTTGATGTCATATCCAAGATGACATTGCCATATTCAATGCCATGAAGATTTTCTCTTATGCTTTTTTTAGGAGTTTTATGGTTTTGGGTGTTATGTTTAGGTTTTTAATTAATTTTGAATTAATTTTTGTATATGGTATAAGATACAGATCTCACCTTATTCTTTTGCATGTGAATACCCAGTTTTCACAGCACTATTTGTTGAAGAGACTGTCCTATCCCCATTTAGTGATCTTGGTACCCTTGGTGAAGATCAGTTGACCATATGTGTGAGTATTTCTTTCTGGGCTTCCTACTCTGATTCATAGATCTACATGTCTATCTTTTTTTTTATTAAGGTATCATTGATATACACTCTTATGAAGGTTTCACATGAAAAACATTGTGGCTACTATATTCACCTATATTATCAAGTCCCCCCACACCCCACTGAAGTCACTGTACATCACTGTACTAAGATGCCACAGAAACACTACTTGTCTTCTCTGTGGTACGCTGTCTTCCCAGTGACCCTCACACATATACCATGTGTGCCAATCATAATGCCCCTCAATCCTCTTCTCCCTCCCAACCTCACCCACCCTCCCACACACCCCCACCCTCCCACAGCCCTCCCCTTTTGTAACTGCTAGTCCCTTCTTGGAGTCTGTGAGTCTGCTTTTGTTTTATTCCTTCAGTTTTGCTTCGTTGTTATACTCCACAAATGAGGGAAATCATTTGTTACTTGTCTTTCTCCACCTGGCTTATTTCACTGAGCATAATACCTTCTAGCTCCATCCATGTTGTTGCAAATGGTAGGATTTGTTTTCTTATGGCTGAATAGTATTCCATTGTGCATATGTACCATATCTTCTTTATCCATTCATCTACTGATGGACACTTACATTGCTTCCATATCTTGGTTATTATAAATAGTGCTGCGATAAACATAGGGGTGCATATATCTTTTTGAATCTGAGATCTTGATTTCTTTGGGTTAATTCCTAAGAGTGAAATTCCTGGGTCAAATGGTATTTCTATAGTTAGTTTTTTGAGCAACCTCCATACTGCTTTCCACAATGGTTGAACTAATTTACATTCCCACCAGCAGTGTAGAAGGATTCTTCTTTCTCCACATCCTTGCCAGCATTTGTTGTTCCTTGTCTTTTGGATGGTAGCCATCCGAATAACTGCTGTGAGGTGATATCTCATTGTGGTTTTAATTTGCATTTCCCTGATAATTAGCGATATGGAGCATCCTTTTCTGTGCCTGTTGGCCATCTGAATTTCTTCTTTGGAGAAGTATCTGTTCAGATCATCTGTCCATTTTTTAATCAGGTTATTTGCCTTTTGGGTGTTGAAGCGTGTGAGTTCTTTATATATTTTAGATGTCAACCCCTTATTATATATGTTGGTTTATGAATATATTTTGATACTGTAGGATGCCTTTTTATTCTTTTGATGGAGTACTTTGCTGTACAGAAGCTGTTTAGTTTGATGTGGTCCCATTTGTTCATTTTTACTTTTGCTTCCCTTTCCCAAGGAGAGGTGTTCAGGAAAAAATTGCTCATGTTTATATTCAAGAGATTTTTGCCTTTGTTTTCTTCTAAGAGTTTTATGGTTTCATGACTTACATTAAGGTCTTTGATCCATTTCAAGTTTGCTTTTGTGTATGTGGTTAGACAGGACAGTGATCCTGTTTCATTCTCTTGCATGTAGTTGTCCAGTTTTGCCAACACCAGTTGTTGAAGAGGCCGTCATTTCCCCATTGTACATCCATGGTTCCTTTATCATGTTAATTGACCATATTGGGTTTATATCTGGGCTCTTTATTCTGTCCCATTGATCTATGGGTCTGTTCTTGTGCCAGTACCAAACTGTATTAATTACTGTGGCTTTGTAGTAGAGCTTGAAGTTGGGGAGCATAATCCCCCAACTTTATTCTTCCTCCTCAGGATTGCTTTGGCTATTCAGGGTCTTTTGTGGTTCCATATGAATTTTAGAACTATTTGTTCTAATTTGTTGAAGAATGCTATTGGTATTTTGATAGGGATTGCATTGAATCTGTAGATTGCTTAGGCTGATGGCCATTTTGACAATATTAATTCTTCCTACACATGAGCATGGGATGTATTTCCATTTATTAGTGTCTTCTTTAATTTCTCTCAAGAGTGTCTTATAGTTTTCAGGGTATAGGTCTTTCACCTCCTTAGTTATATTTATTCTTAGGTATTTTATTCTTTTTGATGCAATTGTGGATGGAATTGTTTTCCTGATTTCTCTTTCTGCTAGTTCATTGTTAGTATATAGGAATGCACCAGATTTCTGTGTATTAATTTTTGTATCCTGCAACTTTGCTGAATCCAATTATTAGTTCTAGTAGTTTTGAGATGGATTCTTTAGGGTTTTCTATGTACAATATCATGTCAGCTGCAAACAGTGATAGTTTAACTTCTTCCTTGCCAATCTGCATGTTTTTTATTTCTTTGTTTTGTCTAATTGCCGTGGCTAGGACCTCCAGTACTATGTTGAATAAAAGTGGGGAGAGTGGGCATCCCTGTCTTGTTCCCGATCTTAGAGGAAAGCTTTTAGCTTTTCACTGTTAAGTATGATATTGACTGTGGGTTTGTTGTATACAGCCTTTATTATGTTGAGGTACTTGCCCTCTGTACCCATTTTGTTGAGAGTTTTTATCATGAATGGATGTTGAATTTTGTCAAATGCTTTTTCAGCATCTATGGAGATGATCATGTGGTTTTTGTCCTTTTTGTTGATGTGGTGGATGATGTTGATGGATTTTTCAAATATTGTACCATCCTTGCATCCCTGGAATAAATTCTACATGTCTATCTTTATATGAGGATCATACTGTATTGATATAGCTTTGCAGTATGTTACAATATGAGGAAGTATGAACCCTTCAACTTTGTTCTTTGACTTCTATTTTATAAATTCCAAAATAAATATTTTTTTATTAAAATCTGATGGAAGTTACTGATTACGTTATTTGGGTGGATTTTCATAGTCAAATGAAAACACAATTTGCATGGTCAAATGAAAATGAAAGGTTTAGCAGATTATGAATATTTTGGACATTTGAAATAACTTACCTGGTTTTAAATACAAATTTACTTCAAACATAATCATACAGAATTACCACTACATTATCCAGTTTCACAAAATCATATCTACCTATCCTCTATACATTTATTCTCCATATCACTATTTTTGTCATAGAAAAGTTGCAAGTTTTAAATGTATGTGTGTGTGTGTGTGTGTGTGTGTGTGTGTGTGTATTCCCACCATCTAGAAATAATCACTGTTAATATTTGGTATATAATACCTTTCAAATTTTTTTCAGTGCAAATATGTATACATCAATGTTTTAGCTAGAATTGTAAATAATCTGAAAGGCTCTATACCAAGTGTGTGCTTGTATAAAATGAAATTATGTTACTCAGACTTCTTTTTCCACTTAATGATATTTCATGAGTTAAAAGCAGATGTGTGATGGATCTGCACCGTTGTTTCTAAGTCTGCCTTGTGGTCTCTTGCCTTGGGCCTGCCCTGATCGCTCATATCTACTGTTGCATATTGGGATTGTGCCTAACTGGCTTTTTTTCTTTTATAAACAACACTGCAATTGCATTCTTCTACTACAGCTTCACCCACTTGATTGTTTCTTCAGGATAAACTAAAAGAACTGAAATTCTTGGTTAAAGGACGTAAACTTTTATTGAGTTCTGATGGTATATTGCTAAATTGCCCTTCTACAAATGACATTTTATGATCCCACTAGCGTATGTACATACGCCTATACTCCTGTGCTACACCAACATGTCCCCAGTTCTAAGTAAAAATGGTACATTTGTACTCCAGTTTGCATGTACTTGATTAGTAATGAAGCTGAACATTTTAATGTTAAATTTTTTAAAGAAAAATTTCATTGATTCCTGCTTTTTAGTTTTAATTACAAAATTTTAATATGAAATGTTCTTCTTTTGGGGATTTAATATTCTTTGCCTGTTCTTCAATTGTAGTGATTGAAATGATTCAATAATGATTTTTAAGTTTTATGTCATAGACCTAAGTCATAGAAAATGCTGTAATGAGAAGTATTTTTCAGTTTTCTTTTGCCCGTTGACTATGTTGATGATGCTTTATTTTTGCCCGTTGGATATCTTTAATATTTTGTGTGTGTTGGGGGGTGGGGTTGGGGGATGGTGGACAAAATGGTGAATCTCTTTCATCCCTGCCCCTGGGTTTCTTGTTATATGTAGGAACATGTCCCCATATCAAGACTGTACAAGTATCTCCTTACATTTTTCACTGCTTTTATGGTTTGCTTGGCTTTTTGGGGGTCTCTGCATTTCAGATGTTAAAAGCTATCACCGTATTTATGGTGTATTTTGTCATTTAAATTGCAGTAGAAATGCCAAAGACCATTGATTTCCCATTCCTTCACCAGCACCCCACCTCAGTATAGAATGAGTTGAGCTGAATAAAATCTACAGAGTTGTATTTAGTGGGATTGATGTTTCTTAAGTGTTCACTTGCACGCTCAGAGGTCTTTGTAAGGCTGTGTCTGCCTCAGTTACTATTATATTTAAGCCTCTGAGTAGCTATTTTAAATGAAAGAACTGGTAACACAGGCTGCCAGTAATTTATGACATAAATCTGTTTGCTGCAACTGTGAGTTTAGATGAGAGAGCTAATGAGGATTATTTTCCTTTCTCTTCTAGATTTTATAGGAAGACAAAACTGGTTGGTTTTCAAGACATGGAGTGTGTGCCTTGCGGAGACCCCCCTCCCCCTTACGAGCCGCACTGTGAGTGAACTCCACGCAAACACAGCAGAAGGGCTCTTGGCCTTTTTTTAGAAAAATCCTTTCTTCAGTTAGCACATGGAGCAAAATCTCTCTCCACTGTGGGGCTTGCCATGCACACTCTTTTATCAGGCCTCCAGCAGGACATAAAGCCCTATTGTTGAGTCAGCAAACTGCGTCCATTGATTTGAGTCTCAGAGTGAAATGCAGACATTTTGCTGCTGCTGTGCTCCATTCAGACTCTCATCTTGCAGCCCTCGTGTATAACTCAGGCAGCTCCCAGCAGCTAGGTGGTCCACATCCTAACGCATAACGTCTTCCACAGCTCCAAGAACTCGTGTTCCCCTCTCAGTCCCCAGTTGCTGCCACGTGGTACCTTCTCTGCCTCCAGAGGCGGATCCTCTCTGGGAATCACCTGCCCTAATTAACACATTGTTAAATGGAATCTTGGCTTATTTCATTCACATTTAACAAATAAATAAGAAGAGAAAACCTGTTTCATGCTGGGACTACAGCTGAGGATAAGGAAATCGTGCCTTTTCCTCTTTGCATTGACATTAGATGACCTTTCTGAGCACCTTTTTCCCTCCAGGATAAAAGGTGCTTGTTATAAGTTATCAACCTACATTAACTTGGAACAGGAAAAGTGGGTCTTCACTCTTCTAAATGCTAAATACAAGCCTGGCCAGTGAAAACTCACAGGTGATAGGCCAGAAATCAGCAGTGGGCTCCCTGGTGTGCTCAGGAAGTGCTTCTCTGCTGAGCAGGGCTTTGAAGGGCTGGGCTGCCCTGTCCGCCAGAACCAGTGCGGTCAGGGAGGGAGAGCAAAGGCGGGGCTTGATCCCATGCACTGGCTGCTCATGCCTTCCTGGGGAGCATCAGTAATACAGATGCATGTACTTATGGCTGTTTGATACACTCTTCAATGCGTGGAATCTGTCCTCCTCTTTCTTTGACAGAGCCCCCTCTGAACTAATAGAAAGTTTTTGCATTATTTGATTAAGTACTACTAAACATAGTGCTTCTGTTTCGGAGAATGTCATGGTATTTTGCAGTCTATATTATTACATCCTTTATCAAAAACATTACTTTGTATTCTTCATTTAAAGTGACAGGAAGGCATAAAAAAATCGATTCTTTCTAACTTTTATAGATGTGTATATTGACTCTCATTTTTATAAGATATAAACATTGCCAAGTAACATTGCCAAGTAATGGGCTACTGTGGTCTGTACTTACCTGTCTGGCTCTTGAAGGAGAGAATCTGATTTGCTCTAGTAAAATACCATCATCCTGTACTGCACAGCCTTTTTCACTGAACTGTAGAACAAATATTTGAGTGCCCTGTTGGGTACCCGGCACGAATGGGGAGCAAACAGACCCCAGTTCCTTCTTCGCGGAGCTCGCAGTAACTACCTGCGTGCAACAGTATTCAGATGCTCTGCACAAAGCTGAAAAATTGCAACCGCTCAGTCCCGAGCTGGGGAGGACCTGCGGTGCTGTGAGAATACGCACTGGGCAGAGGTGCAGGAGCGCTGAGGAAGGCTTGCCAGAACCGTGACTTTTGAGCTGTGATCAGAAGGGTCAGCTGGAGGAAGATGAGTCCGAAAAGGAAACCAAACCGGGCCCAGAGGAGTGGGAGGAAGCCACGAGAGCACATAGATGCCCCGTGGCCGCAGGGACCATGGACGGGCCCACGCAGTTGGGGGTCCCCGTCTCTGGAAGGGGTGGAGGACCCTGCTAATACCAGGAAGGGAGGGGCTGGGGTGCACGGACACTGCGTGCGCCTTTGGAGGAGGGGCTGAGGGGCCACATGGGCGCTTTTGTGGGTGAAGTAGGAGGTGCTGTGTTCTGCCACGTGAGGCAGGGACCACCAGTCTCAAGAGGCTGGGGGTGCACAGGGCTAATAGGGTCTTATTCCAGAAAGTAGGAGGGAGATGAATTAGAGAAAACAGTGCTTTTTCCCAGCAGCACCAGGGGTCCAACTGAAGTTCATGGTCACATTCAGGCATAGTTTGCCTCTCACATGACATCTGTAGGGGCTTCTGCTGCGGGGGTGACTCAGGCCGCCTCTGAAGCTGTCCCAAGACATATGGAAGTTGTACCCTCAACGTGCAGCTTACAGAAAGCTACATACAAGTCTTTGAAAAGGATGACTGTCTGTGTTAATAACCCAAGAACAATCATAAATTAAAGTAGACATTTTCTTATATTCATATAATACCGGAAGCAAACCAAAATAACAACTTAACAAGCACAGTTTTCAAAACTTCCCATGTTTCTGTCCCGTGTCCAAGGGGCGACCTCAGGGCTATACCTGTCTGTGGGTGTGTAACTTCGGCAAATGACATCACCGCCCTCAGGCGGGATCTGGCCCTGTAAAATGGAGTGACAACTACCTGCTAAGGTCACTGTACGCACTGAATAGTTGATGTCTGTGGCACTGAATAGTTGATGTCTGTGTGTCGCCTGGCTGAGTGTCTGGCAGCAGGCAGGGTCTCCACAATCTGCTGCCCCCCTTCCCTGCTCCATTCCCCACATGCGCTTCTTGGGCACTGAGACCTCATCATTCAGAGGAGTTGCTATCTTGGGAAGGGACCAAGTGACCGCCCAAGGGTGTGGTATTTAGCAGAGGCAGTGGTGCAGTGAGTAGCAGGGAGCTAGTGAACTATCAGTGACCACTGTGCTTAGCAGGAAATGGCATAATGGGAGGTGGAGGGGAGTCAGCCATCAGAAAACAAAGAGGTTTTCTACAGCTTAAACTTGTAATAAAGAATGCCTCAACAGAATGTTTTTTCTTTGTAGAGATACACTTGTTTTCTGTGTAAAGTGATTTCAGAAATGAGAAAGAAGTTTCTTTCGCTCATAACTCTTTATATTGGCCCAGTCTGAAGAAGTCCTAAAAGATTTGGCATCTGTTGTAGGCAACAGAGTAGAACACAGAATGGGGCCTGTAGCCAGAAACTCTGTGTTCACACCTAGGCTCTGCCTTGTTCTAATGGTAAAACCATGGGCAGATCATCTCACTACTTTGAATTTCCATTTAGGCCTTGGAAAATGCGGATTATCGTGTTCATACCTGCAGATTGTGGTGGTGGTGTTTTTATATGTCCAGTTAGCATCCATCACCACACATTGTTACAAAAAAGTTTTTTTTCTTGTGAGAAGAATTATTAAGATCCACTGTCCTAGCTACTTTCAAATATGCAGTAGTTTTATTACATATAGTCACCATGCTGTACATTATATTAATGACTTATTCATTATATTATTAATGACTTATTCATTTTATAACTGGAAATTTGTGCCTTTCCACCCCCTTTTACCCATTTCATCCACCTCCTAACACCCTACCTCAGGTAGCCACCAATCTGTTCTCTGTATTTGTGAGCTTAGTTTTTGTTTCATTTTGTTTTTTAGGTTCTACATACAAGTGAGATCATATGGTATTTATCTTTTTCCGTCTGACTTATTTCACTTGGCCTAATACCCTCAAGGTTCATCCATGTTGGAGCAAATGGCAAGAGGTCCTTCTTTTTGACGGCCAAATAATATTCCTGTGTGTGTGTGTGTGTGTGTGTATGCGCATGTGTGCCCTATCTTCTTTGTCCAATCATCTAATGATGGACACTTAGGTTGTTTCCATGTCTTTTGTAAATAATGCTGCAGTGAACATGGGGGTGCAAATATCTTTTTGAGACACTGCTTAGTTCCCTGCAGACAAATACCCAGAGGTGGCATTGCCAGATCATATGGTGGTTCTATTTTTTATTTTTTTGAGGCATCTCCATACTGCTTCTCACAGTGGCTGCACCAATTACATTCCCACCAACAGTGAAGAAGGATTCCCTTTTTTCCACATCCCTCCCAACTCTTGTTATCTCCGTCTTTTTGATAATAGCCTTTGTAATAGGTATGAGATGATACCTCATTGTGTTTTGATTTGCATTTCCCTTATGACTAGTAATATTGAGCATTTTTCATGTACTCATTGGCTATCTGTATGTCTTCTTTGGAAAGATATCTATTCAGATCCTCTGCCCATTTTTACCAGATTGTTTTGTGCTGTTGAACTGTTTGAGTTCTTTAGAAAGTTTGGATGTTAACCCCTTACCAGATACACGGTTTGCACATGTTTTCTCCCATTCAGTAGGCTGCCTTTTCATTTTGTTGATTGTTTTCTTTGCTGTGCAACTTTTTAGTTTGATGTTGACCTGTTTGTTTATTTTTGCTTTTGTTGCCCTTGCTTTTGGTGTCAAATCCAAGAAATCATTGCCGAGATCAATGTCAAGGAGCTTACCACCTGTCATCTTCTAGGAATTTCATGGTTGCAGGTCTAACAATCAAGTCTTTAGTGCATTTTGAGTTAATTTTTGTGTATAGTGTAAGACAGTGGTTCACTTTCATTCTTTTGCATGTGGCTGTCCAGTTTTACCAGCACCATTTATTGAAGAGACTGTCCTTTCTCCATATGTATATTCTTGGCTCCTTTGTCATTAATTGATTGGCCATCTATGTGTGTATTTATTTCTGTGCTCTCTGTTCTGTTCCATTGATCTTCTGTCTGTTTTTAGGCCATTACTATACTGTCTTAATTACTGTAGCTTTGTCATACAGTTTAATATCAGGGAGCATGACGCCTCCAGCTTTGTTCTTTTTCCAAGGTTGCTTTGGCTCTTGGGGTCTTTGGTGGTTCCATACAAATTTTAGGAAGCTTTGTGCTATTTCTGTGAAAAAGGCCATTGGAATTTTATATGGATTGCATTGAATCTATAGATTGCTTTGGGCAGTATGGACATTTTAACAATATTAATTCTTCCAGTCCTTGAGCATGGAATGTCTCATAGAGGTTCTGGCTACAACTAAATGAATTAGAATCCAGAACCAGACCTGCCACAGAGTGAGCTCAGTAATGCCTCTCCACCTGCCAGCCTGCCTTCCTCCAGATGATGACTGAGTCAGCCCCACCCCAACCCAGGTGTGCTCTGTGGAAGCTACGGACA